AGATTAATTTGGGGAGTATTGCCATCTTAACAGTATTAAGTCTTCTGTTCCATCAACACGGAATGTCTTTCCATGTGTTTCAATCTTTTTTTATGTCTTTCAACAATACTTTCCTTTTCAGTTTTCAGTGTCCACTCTTGCACTTCTTTTGTGTCATTTATTCGTAAATATTTTATTCTTTTTGATGCTATTGTGAATGGAATTGTTCTCTTTATTTCATTTTCAGATTGTTCATTGCTAGTGTATAGAAATACAATTGATTTTGTATATTGATCTTCTATCCTGCAACTTTGCTGAACTTGTTTAATTAGTTCTAATGGTTTTTTAGTAGATTCCTTAGGATTTTCTAAATATATGATCATGCCCTCTGTGAATAAAGATAATTTTACTTTTCCTTTCCAATCTAGGTATGTTTTAGTTCTTCTCTTGCCTAATGGCCCCAGAAGAACCTCCAGTACTATATCTCTGTGACCTCTTTTGGCTGCTCATTGGCCTTCTTTGGTTCCTTGTAGATCTCAGCTGTCTTCCAAATAGTCATATTTGCTGAATTAAGGACCTTTAGATAAGTAAAGTATTCGTGGGCTGATTGATTTTTATGCCCATACTTTCCATAAACACCTATTTTCATATTACATTCATTTCCTTGCTTCCTTAGGAAAAGAAAACTTCTTGAATACTGTCTTCTTTGTGGAATCAAATTCTGTCCTATTTTAAATTTATATTTTTAACCAGAAGGTCCTATTATGCTATACTTTCCCCCTCTGTCCAGATTCCCTAGATTCAGAGTCAGAAGACCTGGCTTTAAGCATCAACTGGCTGTGTACTCTTCGGCAAGTCATTTTCCCCTCTTGGCTCCTTTTCCTCTTCTGTAAAGGAAGAGTTGAAGTAGATGATATATAAGCTCAGGTCCCACCCCCACCCCACCCCCATTCTAACAACTTATCATGTAATAGTTCTAATAATTTAAAGCCATGTCAGGTGGAAAGTAAATAAATTAGGATTTATATGGGATAAAATGCCAAGCTACCTTTATTCTTTAGTAACCTATTAGTTTACATAGTAAAGGAGGTTTTACGATAACCTGTTTGGATACAGATAAGAAAAGCCTGGACCTTTGTAACCAAAGACTCCCACTGACACAGCCTGGGTAGCTCAAAGCACAAAGGAATGGAAAGGGAAGTTCCTTTGCTCAGGGTACAACCTAGGAGCTCAGAAAAGCTGCCAGCTGGGGTAAAAACTTACTGGTTTCAAATTATCATTCTGTATATAGAGAGGCAAAGGCCAATAGCCTTATGGTTGACCTTGGATTTGGGAGTCAGCAGGTGGCAGCAATAAGTATCTGTTTGTCTGAACCCCACCCTAGGCCAAAGACCTGATTCAGCCTGTGGGTGCTCCCTGACGACCAGGGACACCTGGGCAAACCTGGAGGCCTCTGAACCTTGTTGGTCCATAAGAAAGAAGTTGAGATTGTAAAATCTGATTTTTTTATTAAGATTTTTTTTCCCTTAGAGAATTCAAAACTTTTAAATGTAGAAAAGTAGAAAAACATACCAAATCCTACCATTTAGTTACCACTACTGTTAATGTCTTGGTGTATTTTATCTGTTGATTGATTCATTTAATATAAATATTACTTAAGGCCCCTGGTACCTGGTGCTAGACTCTGAGGAACTCTGAGGTCAACGCAACAGATGCTTTGTGGATCTGCAGCATTTCCTTCCAGTCTTTTCTTGGGCATTTTTTGTACATTCAAAAATGTTTCAACTTCTCTAAAATGACAGGAGCTGCTTCAAATATATTATTAAAGAAAGCTCAGTTCTACTAATAGTTTTATACAGTTTGGACATCTCGGCTGTCATTGAACCAGGAATACGTTGTTATCCCCCTGTTATTCTCACTTCTGGTCATACATTCAAAGGGGTTTAGATGAACTGGGAATTAATTAGGGAAAATTATGTTTTGGAGGTAGACTCCTTAGGAGGTCTCTCCAGCTCCAGCTCCGTTGACTTTCTAATATTCTCTAGGAACTTGTTCCTTCAGTGTCTCTGTTTCCAGGTGGAGCACCCTCCCTCTGTGCAGTCTGTCCTTGCCTCTCCTGACTGGAGGCTACCATTGCTCAGTCTCCGTCCGGCACTGAAGCAGCTTGCCTCCATGGTTCTCAGTTTTGCCTCTCTCTTCTGTAATTCCTGGTCCTTGAGAGCCCCCGTTGAGCATTGTCCAGGTCCACTTAGTGCTTTGACTGACCCCTTTTGGCGACAGTAGCAGATGCTGTTGGTGTCCGTCTCCCCCAGGGCCATCTGAGACCACCTGCAGCTGCAGTAGATGGTTTCCCACGTGCTGGTAGTGCCCCACCAAACACTTGTGTCTTTTCTCTCTGGTTCTCAAATCTGATTCTTCACCATTGTCATGTTTTCTGAAATCAATCATTTACAGAGTCTTTGCTCCCATGCATGTATTTGCTCTGTGTGTTTGCTGTTCCTTTAACAGTGACCCTAGCAAGGGGGATTTGAAGTGGTGGTGAAAGTGGAAGCATACTGAGGCTAGATTTCTACCCTAGGTTGTGTGTGTGTGTGTGTGTGTGTGTGTGTGTGTGTAGTAAATCAGCCCTTTTTTTTTTAATTAAAAAGATGCCTATGGTTAGAAAAAATATATATCAAATAGCACACAGACCATTCAGACCCTTAATCCCATTCCCCAGAAACAACAACTATCGCCAAGTTTCTGGTGCATTCTTCCAGAAATATTCCAGGTATAAAAAGCACGAGTATCTAATATAGATCCCCTTTTTTACATATAGAGGAGCATAATATATACTTTAAATTTCACCATATATATTAGGGTTCACCCCAAATAGTGCGACTTCCTGTTTTCTTCCCCCATAACAATGTTCTGTGGTTTGGAAATGCCATAGTTTACTTAACCTGTCCTTTTTGAATGGACATTTGGATTGTTTAACTCATTTGCTATCACAAACAACTCTGCCTTGAACATCCTTTTACACATATTTTTCTACAAGTACACTTTGATCAGCACTGAATATAATCAATATCTTCTTTTGTTAATTAGTAGATGACAAAGAATATTTTCTTATTTAAATTTGCATTTCTTACATCTTAAGTTAGATGTTTTTATATGTTTATCAAACTTTGAAATTTTTTCCTTTAACTGCCTGTTCCTATTTTTTGTCCATTTTCTATCTTACTGATGTGTAAAATAAAACATTATATTAAGATTAGCCCTTTATTTAATTATAGTCCTTCAAATATGTTTTCTTTTTTGCCTTTTTACCCTAACATTCTTTTCATCCTAAATTTAAGACTTTTTAGACAGTCTAATTTCTTTCCTTTCTGGCTTTTGTGTTTTATATGGTTTAGAAAAGCCTTCCTCGCTTCAAAATTATTTTGTGAAACTACTGGATAATTTCTCCTGGTATTTTTCCACATTCTTTGTTACATTTAAGACTCTAGTCTATCTGGAAATTATTTTAGGATAGCAATCAGCTCTAATGTTTGTCTTTTCTAACCTTGGCTCTTTGATCAATAATCCAGCTTTCTGAGAGTTCCAGATCAATCCAGATTTCCCAGATCCTTGGGGATGTGACTGAACCTGGCTTATTGACACATTGTTGGTTGTGGCCTAGGACTGCCAAGTCCTCTCCTGCCAACTGAGCCCATCAGACCCAGGTCAGGGGTGTGGGAACCTGGGGAGACCATTCTCACCGGGGCAGGTGGGCTCCAGGTGGCCCCACAGTGACTTGGATGCCCATCTGACTGTAGCATGGGCTGTAGCACTTCCTCTGTAAATTTGGCTCTGGCTCCCTTCCACTCTTGCCGCCCATCCCATCTGCACAGCACCCCAGCCAGCTCTTCTCTGAGGAAATTTGCATCATGCAGCAGCAGGAGGGCTCTTGAGGACTGCTTCCCTGAGCCATGGTCTGTTCGGCTGCTCCTTTGCTACTCCTGGCCATGACTCTCCCCCTGGTCGGGTCACCAGATGCCCAAGCATCCCAGCCTGTGAGTAAGACTGGGGTGAGGACCCAGGGAAGGTCTGCAGAGGTGACAACAGGGACTTCTGGGTGTGAGGGGCAGCAAGATGTGGAACAAAAAGATAGGTGGAGGGGAAGGGGCTAGAGAGGAAGTGATGTATTTCTTTTAAAGGCTGGTTTGTTATAAGATCTCCAAGAGTTCATTCAGTCTTATTTTCCAGGGTGTGAGGATAGCTCGTTTCTTTATTTGAGTCCCTATGAACGCCAGTGATGCCTGCTGCACTTCGGATAGAGGCTCTTCCGGTCAAGCCTGCAATTTGAAAATGAAAAGAAAAAAAGCTTTCTAAACTTGGGAACCATTGGCATAGAGGACGGGAGAGAATCTGCATGAAGGCAGCAGAGTCCAGTTTAGCACTTTAGGATTTCCCTTTTCTCCCATATGGATCTCTCTCTGACTCTCCACATCCTTATCCATATCAGCGCCTGTTTTTAGACAGATATCCCCACCCACCTGCATTTTGAGAGAAGGAGGAATTGGTGAGGAATAATTTACAGGCACCAGAGACTAAAGGAAGATGCTGCCTTCTGCTCAGGCTCCTGGCAATCCCTCTGGAGGGAATAAAGCCCCCAAGCCTCTGGGCCCCAGGCAGCTCTGCCCAGTCCCCCAACCCCATCCCATCCCCTAGAGCTCCAGACCCAGCCATTTCAATTAGCCTAGAGGCCCAGGGGCAGGTGTATTCAGGAAGGAATTAAGCAAAGCATGTTGACTCACGGGGTGTGCCTGGTTTCTGGATTCTGGTGGGATTTGCAGACCGTGGCAGGATCCATGGGGCTGTATCCCCGTACCTCCTCCCAGAAGCCTGCTTTCCCCTCCTGATTTGCCCGCTTGATTCCAGGCAAAAAGAGACGGAGTTGTACCAGATTAGCCAGGCTGGCAGTCTGGGGAAGAAGGTGGCCCTGGGAGAAATGTGGGGTCAGGTCTCCTCAGAGGCCTCTCCCCTGTGCTCTGTTCTAGGGACACAGTCAGGCTGGAGGGGAATCTGGGCAGCAATTGGACCAAGAAAGTGGAGCAGGTGGTGAGTGGACAAACAGAAAGAGGACGCAGGAGGAGGAGGGGGAAGCAGGGAACAAGGCAGAAAGAAAGGACTGGGAGAGGTACAGAGAGAGGGGAGCGGGTGGTGGGTTAAAGAGAGAGACCAGGTCCTGCGCTGGTCACACATGTCCTTACACAGTTCTCTAGTGAAGCCTTGAGAAGATCATTCATCCTGGAGTCTCATCTATAAATGGGTGTTGGTGGGTGACATGAAACAGCGTAGGGGAAGGCACCGTAACTGGGTGAGGAGTTACCACTTTCCTGAGTCCTTTCTGTGCCTGGAGGGGCTTGGGGAGGTGGGACGGGCTCCGGGTTCCTGGTTGTGACAGCTAGGTGTGGGGCGCAGAAGGGGACTGTTCATGGCCTTGCTGCCTGTCCTCTCCAGCTGTCCCCTCTGCTCCTGCAGAATCAGTCCTGGTCTCGGTCTATGTACAGCTGGACTTTTCAAATGAGACCTGGTCGGCAGCACTCTCCAAGCCCCAGACTCTTCCCACTGCCTCGGCTTCCTCTTCCCTGGGAACCCTCACTGGCCTCAGCCTCACAACAGGTGGTGTAAGGAGAGGCCCCTGCTTCTCAGTGGCTCTTATGCTGCTTGGTGGGAAGGGGGCTCAGGGTGAAGGGAGCCCAGCCCTCCCACAGTCCCCTTGTCTGAGATACTGTGAGCCCCTCCCTATTTCTGGAGGGTCTGCGCAGCCCAGCTCCTTTCTCACCTCCCACCGGGCAGGCCCTTCCCTTCCTGCTCCGCGTCCCCATCTTCTAAACTTTGGCAGAGGCACAAGGGGCAGATGATGGTGGGCCCGGGTCTCCACTCCCACCCCTGATGCCTTTGCCCAGCACACTCTGCTGCTCTTGGCTGAGAAGGCAGTGCCTGGTGGGTGTTGGTGACTGAGGCGCCTGTGACTTTGGGATTGTCCAGACAGCCAGCCCTAAAGCCCCGCAGGCATCAGGCAGTTGGGCTTTCCCAGACAGCCTGCCCACTTCTCATTCCCCTTCCCTCTGTCACAGAGTGCAGTGTCAACCACGATGGGTGTACCTATTGTGCTTGCCTCTCTGGGTACCAGTGGAACAACAGTGTCTGCTCCCGTCACCAACCCTGCGAAACCCTCCTTGAGCACCGGCCTTGTGGCTGTCTTATCTTCTGCCCTAATGAAGCCGGGTACTGCCAGCTGCTGCCACCTGGTGAGGAACTTGGGAACCAATGCTGCCCTCCCCGACCCCACCCCAGTGAAAGAAATCCTGTGTTGTCTTTCCCTCTGATCCCTGTGTCTCTGCCAGCCGACCCAAGCCCAGCGGCTCTGGGAGGGAGAAAATGTCAGCCATAATAGCAGATCCCAGGCCCTGAGCTCGGGACCGGATAATGAGACTAAGGAATGGCAGGGCTTCAGAGACAGGTGGACAAGGAGAGGAAGTTCCCTCCCTGGGGGAGGAGGAGTTCTAGACCAAAAAGCTTCCTTGTTTGGTTTCTGCTGACGGATTGGGTCTTCCAGGCTGGGATGCAGCAGCCACACTCATCCAGGGACAAAACAAAAAAGGTGGGAAGGGAGTGAGAAGGGATGGGCTTCAGAAGATGGGGAAGGAAGGAGAGCTTAGCTCTATCAAGGGCCACAAGTTCTTGTTCTGGGGGTACCCTGTCTCCTGCCTCCTGCAGTCCCTGCAACCCTGAGCCTCAACTCCTGGCTGCAGATGCCTGGCAGCACCCTGAACCTGACCCTTCTCACAAGCCAGGAGATCACCAACCTGAAATGGTTCCTGTGGCGCACGGGGAGCCCCAGCCCCATCCTCCTGCAGGCAGGGACATGTGTGTCCTTGACCTCCAGCCGGGGCCGGGCTCTCCTCAGCATCGTCAACATCACCTATAAATGGGCAGGTAGCCCGCCTGTCCCTCCCTTCTCGTCTCTCGTCTCCTCTCCTCACCTTTCTTCTTCCTCCTCTTTTTCCTTTGCTCCCCCTCCTCCACCCCCTCTTCTCCTTCCTTCTTTTCTCCTCTTCCTTTCCCTTCTCATCCCTCCACTTATTCACTCTGGGGAAACCAAGGCTAAGAGCCCACTGATGTGAAGAAGTGTAAGGAGAGAGCACTGAAAACGTGGTCTGAGAGTCCACTGAGAACAGATGCCTGCTCTTCTTCACGAGGCTGAAACGGTAGGCGCTGGAGCAGGAGCGGCAGCTAGTGGAGGGAGAGGTTTCCCCTTAGAATTCACGGCTACAGGGTAACAAAAGGGTCAGGGTCTCTTCTTCCTCCTAGAAATCCTTCCAGGGACAAGGATCGTTCCTACTGGGGTTAAGAAGAGGCTGAATGGACAAGGCAGACCTAGGGTGTGGCTGGGGAGGCAGCGGAGACTCTGTGGCACAGGTGGGGGCCAAGGAGGCAGGACGTACATCAGGTGTGTGTCTGCAGGTGATTACATGTGCTGCTTTGAGGCCCAGGGATTCAGGTGGGAGCTGCACCAGATGGTGAAGGTGTCCCTGCGGGAGACAGACGTGGCTCAGCTTCCAGACCAGCTCTCCATCTCCTGTGCCTCCTCCCCTGGCTTCCAGCTGAGCTGCTGCATCCCCAGCGAACATCTGGGCTACACAGCTTCCTGGAGCCCTGGAGAGGGCAGTGAAGGTGTGGGAGGGGGCCAGCTGTTAGGGGTTGGGGAGAGAGGGCAGCTGGTCACCTCCAGGCAGCTGGCTCTCCAGCTCACCGGAAGCAGAGGCTGCAGTTCAACCTGGGAGTTGCTGGTCCAAGTCCAATACTGCTTTTACCCAATTCTGTTGATAGAACAATAACCCTCATGTGTGGAGACAGCTTCTGCATAATGCTTTCGTTAACTGTGGCTTCAGGCCCTGGAACTAGAGACCCCCAGAGTCCCCTTCACCGAAATCCAAGCTCTACCTTCAGTGGTGTGATGCCCACGTATGATTTAGCTCTTCCCCACTGCTTCATTCTGCTTCTGAAATCACTAGAAAGACTGACAAGGCATCTCTAGGCCTCTTGGGTTCCCAGGTGTGTTCCTGGGCCAGTGGCAGTTCCCTTCTCTTGTCTCACCCTCAGCCTCCTCATTCAACACATCGGACTCCCAGTGCTTTGTGCTGGCTGTTCAGCGCTGCCCTGCAGCTGACACCACGTACACTTGTGACCTGCAGAGCCCAGGACTGAGCCCTCTCAGGGTCCTCGTCTCTGTTACCACCATCCAGGGTACGCAGGGCTTGGGGTTCAGCTGGCTGCGCTCTCACCTGCTTGCCCTGGGAGCTCCTCCTTGATGTTTCCCTGCAATGGGCAGTAAGACAGACTCACAGCCTGCGCTGACTTCTGCCCAAGGAGAGGCTAGGGCTAGACTGGGTTGCCAAGCCTCCCCTGATATCATTTTCAGGTGGAGACACCACCTGCCCTGAGGACTCTTCAGCTGGTGCCTGGAACGTCACCAAGGCTGGCCATGTGGCACAGGCCCCATGTCCTGGGAATAAGACGGGCACAGTGAAGAGGACTTGTAGGCCTGATGGGGCCTGGGGGCCCATCCATAGCAGCTGCACAGACACAGGGCTCCTGGCCTTGCTTTATAGAGCCCGGGTAAAGCTTCTGGCCCTGCTGACCACATGCCCCATCCTCCATGACCCATCCCTTCCTCACCCAGGACCCAGCTTTAGAACCCTCTCCCCCGAGGCCCGCCCCAAAGGTATTCAGCTTCTCGGAACTGGTTCTTAGCAGAGCCAGGAAGTAGGTGCAAGGGGGGCTTAGAGTGGCCAGCACGCTCATGATGGGGAGGGTGCTAGTCTCAAACCTTGATCCTAACAAATGTCCATCCCACTAACCTTGGTGTCAGTTCCTTCCATGTGGCTCGCTCTTCTCTGCTTCCTGCTCCCCTGGGACAGGGTGCAGGTGTGGGGAGAAGGGAGCTGAACAGGGAGAGGGAGGAGGTGGCCCCTCCCTCTTGAGGACTCGCCCACCACCCCCTCCTGCTGTCTTGTCTGTCTCAGCTGCTGCTGGCAGGCCAGGGCTGGCCTGATGAGGAGGTGCCACAGATCCTGGCGCAGCTGCCTGACCAGGTAGTGGTGGTGACCTCACCCTCTGACTTACTAGCACTGGTGAACACCATAAAAGTCCTGGCCAAAATAGTGGCAAGTGCCAGAATACAGCTCAACGGCAGTGCCCTGGAGGTGAGATCTCTGAGCCATGGCAGGGGCCGGCTGGGTAGTGTGGGCCGGAAGCTCTTCAGCCCTGGGCACTTCTGTCCCTCTGTATCACCAGGGGCTCTCAGATGGTAGACTTTTCTAGAGTCCAAGAGTCTGCTCCCTGGTCCATTTCTCCTCTTGGATTCCAGTCTCTAAGGTCATGGAATGTAGAGAAGGCCTGATGCTGGGAACACATGGGTGGTCGGGGAAGGCAGAGAGGGGTGTGAAGACATGAGTTTAGAGGCATTCATGCACATGCAGACATGGGTTATGACTCCAACACACGCCCCCAACCCGTCCACCCACAAGATACCTCCATGGAGATACTCAAATGTGCTTGGCTTTGCTGGACCCACCTACACCAGCTCTCAGGATAGGCCTCAGTTGGCGACCCATAAGCTGCAGCCAAAAGAATGACCAGAGACAATGACACTACACACCCTTCGTGTTTGGGAATGTGTATCACACATGGGTGCACAGACATGCTGGTGGCCCTCTACTTCAGAACATTGTGCCCTTAACCACTGGGCACCATTCCTAGCTTTACAGATCTAAATGGCCCCCTTAGGATCTGGTGGCCCCAAGGGATGGAGTGGGGAGACCAGTAATCAGACAGAGGGTGGGATGTGCATCAGGAGACCACATGCCAGAAGACACCCCAATGGGAGGCTAAACAGCCCTCTTCTTCCCGTCTCCCTTTCGTGGGCCTGTCTTCCTCTCCCTTTTCTCCCCAACCTTGGGTTTTGCACTGAACTAGGAAGGGTGGGTTTGGGGCCTGTAGTTCCCTGCTGAGGGCTCTAGGCCTCATCTCTGTTGTGTGCTGCAGGCTCTGCTGAAAACCACAGACAAGGTCCTTGACATGGACGCCAGTTCCCTGTGGACCACAGCCCGGGCCCAGATCTCCGCAGTGGGCTCCAATCTCCTGCTGGCTGTGGAGACCCTAGCACGCAGTCTGTGCCGACAGGATCACCCCTTCTCCTTCGGCTTGCCCAACGTGCAGCTGCAGACCCAGCTCCTCAGGCCCACACTTCCTTCCGACTATAGAGTCTCCTTCTCTACTCAGCCCATGCTGCAGGCGCACATTCCCAAGCACTCACTGGCCCCACTGGGCCATAATGGAACCAACGTCAGTGTTACTAGCCTGATGCTGCAAAAACTGGACCACTTTCTGCCTTCAAACTACGGACAAGGGCTGGGGGACTCCCTCTATGCCACTCCTGGTCTGGTCCTTGCCATCTCCATCATGGCAGGTGGCCAGATCTTCAACAAGGCAGAGGTCATCATGGACTTTGGGGACACAAATGGCACCCCTCACTGTGTCTTCTGGGACCACGATCTCTTCCAGGGCAAGGGGGGCTGGTCTGATGCAGGGTGCCAGGTGCAGGCAGCCAGTGCCAGCCCCACCACTCACTGTATCTGCCAGCACCTCACTGCCTTCTCCATCCTTATGTCTAGACACACAGTTCCAAAAAACACCCTCCTGGAGCTGCTGGGTCAGGTGGGCTTGGGGGCCTCCATTGTGGCCCTGCTTGTGTGTCTGGGTGTGTATAGGCTAGTGTGGAGATTTGTGGTGCAGAGCAAAGTTGCCTACTTACGCCATGTGGCCCTGCTCAATGTGGTGCTCTGCCTGCTGGCAGCAGACACCTGCTTCCTCGGAGCCTCGCTGCTTCCTCCAGGGCCCCACAGCCCACTCTGCCTGGCCACCGCCTTTCTCTGTCATTTCCTCTACCTGGCCACCTTCTTCTGGATGCTGGCTCAGGCTCTGATGTTGGCCCACCAGCTACTCTTTGTCTTCCATCAGCTGTCCAGGCACCGAGTACTCTCCCTGATGGTGTTCCTTGGCTACCTGTGCCCGATGGGGTTTGCAGGTGTTACCCTGGGCCTCTACCTACCCCGAGGGCAATACCTGGGGGAGGGGGCATGTTGGTTGGACAAGAAGGGAGGAGTGTTCTACACCTTCGTGGGGCCAGTGCTGGCCATCATGGGTGTGAACGGGCTAGTACTAGCCATGGCCGTGCTGAAGCTGCTGAGACCTTCGCTGTCAGAGGGACCCCAGGTGGAGAAGCGTCAAGCCCTCCTGGGAGTGATCAAAGCCCTGCTCATTCTCACACCCATCTTCGGTCTCACCTGGGCGCTGGGCCTGGCCACTCTGTTAGAGGAAGTCTCCATAGTCCCCCACTACCTCTTCACAGCTCTCAATACCTCCCACGTGGGTGACAAGGTGGTGGCTGTGCTTTTTGCCCTTTTAGACAGTCCCTGCCAGTCCCTTCTCAAGGAGGTATGGTTGTGCAGAAGAAACAGGCTCAGGAATTTTTAAAGGCTTAAGCTTGGATTGCCGTTCCTCCACTGACTAGCTGAATAACTGTGGACAAATCTCTTTGACCCCTAGTTTTCTCATCTGTAAAATAATCTGGTTTTGTCACTTAAGTCAGGGAATTGTCAGTACCCTATCCTTTGATCCATCTTCTTCGTAACAGTAAGAAAAGCACCTGAAATGGATTCTATGCACCAAGTGGTGCAAATGTACAGAAAACCAAGATGCGGAGCCTCAGGATGTGAATTAAACAAGAGGACAGAGGTTGAAGGAGGAGAGAGAAGGAATTGGCTCTGATTTCTTCCTCCTTGACTAACTGATCCTCATCCCTCTTTTCAGGGTGTCTTCATCTTATTGTTCGGCTGCCTCATGGACAGGAAGGTGAGTCTGCCCACCTACCCCAGCCTGACCTGCATGCATCCAAAGGCCGGGACTTTGGCTGGCATAACGGCAATCCCCTCTCCTACAGGTTCAAGAGGCTTTGCGCAAACGTTTTTGCCGCTCCCAGCCCCTCAACTCCACCATCTCCCTGGTGAGTTGCTGGCTTTAAAGCCTCACTTTTCCCCGAGAGCAGAGCAAAGTAGATGTTCCACAGCCTTCCACGGAGGAGATGGGGACAGCCAGACGCCAAGAGAAGATTGGGGTTGTATTTCAGGAGGAACATGTTTCAGGGTCAAGCTCTCCTACGATGGAGAATGCAGCCCAGTCTGAGCAGACTCAGGTCCCTGGGCTCCTGATTATAACCTGGACTCCTAGTGACTCTGGATTTTCCCCTGGTTTCTCCCTCCGAGAATCTGCCTCCAGTTAGCAGGGGAAAGGTAGGATCGGGTTGCATGAGAGTCACTGTAGCTGGGAGCAAAGTTCCTAGGATTTCTGCTGCCCAGGCAGGAGGACAGGTGAGAATGTACAAATGAATACAACCCCGTCAAAAGGAGCGTTGGCAGTAGTAATCACTGCCCTGTAATTGGGCCTTCCCATGCCTTCCTAGGCCACAAATGAAACCTACATCCCATAACACAGCAAAGGAAGAAGTGAAGAAACCGGTGAGGATGAGGCTTTCTCGGGAGCAGTGTGAGAAGCACGGAGTGAGGATGAGTGTACAAAGGGCTTTCCAGCAGAGCTCTACAAAGAAAACGCCTCTTCATATACCCGCCCTGACCCACAGGGTGGAGAACAGCCTTCTCCAGGTGGACATTCCCAGGTGAGCTGAAGGAGTGTGGAGGCCTCGGAGAGAAGATGGCATAGCATCTTCTACTGCCTTCCCAGAAAGCTGCAGTGTCACCACCACCACCCCTTGACTCAGTTCACTCTGAAAATTCCTTTTCACACTAGCATTATTTTTAGATAGCCTGAAAAACCCATGTTGTGGAGGAAATGCCATTGGTGGTTCTGGTAACCGGAGGGGAGAGGAGCCCACAGAGGCTTCAGGGCGAGCTTTTTCACAGGAAAGACAAAAGTTTTGAGTGACCCACATATGATGACAGAGTCGAGGTGTGTCCTTGAAGCCACCAGGATGAGTCCTGGCCAACGCTCTGAACCCTTCCTGGCCCCAGAGCTCAGCCCTTGGGAAAGACAGGCTTCTGTTTCCGTTAGTCACACTCATTTTTCTCATTTACCTGTCCCCACCCTTGAACTATCCAAGCAAGAAAAGCATGGAAAAACTAGCTAAAGTGAACTAATGAATAAGCATGGCTTTTCTGTAAAAATAATTAACAGATATCAAAGTTCAAAATAATTGCAAGTAAAACCTGTCTTAACAGTTTTCATTATTCAGTGATTTCTTTTCTCATTATTTCTTCCCTATAATTACAAAGAAAGGATGGCTTAATTGACAGGAATTCTGATCTTCCAGACACTGGAGGCAAAGAGCAGAATTTGGTTTGTTTCTTTTCAAAATTTAGGAAAAGGTGAAATTAACAGATCCCTCTTTCTTTAACCTCTATGACACATTAATCCAAAATGTAAGTTTCATAGAGGTATGCTTGTATGTAAAGTTACTGATACCAGCACAATTTTAAGAATGTGGTATAAATTTTAAAGTAGAAAGTTATCACAGATGGCCAGGAATTATGAAGAAAAGATGACAAATATTGACATTTAAAAGTGACAGGATCAGGGGAGAGTATAGCTCAAGCACTAGAGCACGTGCTTAACATGCACAGGGTCCTGAGTTCAATCCCCAGTACCTGCTCTAAAAATAAGTAAACCTAATTACCTCCCCCACCCCTGCCAAAATAAAATAAATAATGCAATGATAAATAAAAGTGACAGGATCAAGCTAAGGCTAGATATAGAGAAGAAATATTTAAGAAAAGACTTTAGAGGGCATCAAGATGCCTAGATGGATTAACTTATGGAATCTGAAAGAGGATGATGACAGGGTTCTGAAAAATTTTTTAACTAGATAAATAAAAAAAATTCTGATTAATGAGTCTTTAATTATAGAATTCATGGATTTTTTAAATAAAATGGAATAGGGGTGTTTTCTTTTGAAATAGAAAGTGATAATGCTAACTAAAAGTGGTAAATGCCATTGAAAACATTTTTCTTACACATGCTATACCTCCACTTAATGATTTGTGTGATTTGTATTGTGTATGAACCAGCCCAACTATTTCTCTAAATGGATTCAGTCATTCTTTCAAGTAGAAGGTACCAACTCACCAGGACCACTGCAAGGTTTCTGTGCCTCGTACTTGTTCCAGCCCCCATGGGAGGCAGCAGCTACTCAATCAGTGGGGGCTTCGCCTTTGCTGGTTTCCCTGACAACAGAGTCTGTCTCAATTCCACTTTCACTTATATTAATATTTAGTCTTAATATTTTTAATTATCAAACTATATTTTGAAAAATTAAAGTACTAAAGAAGCAGCAGAGATTCCTTTTCTGAGTATGTTTCTATAGATATATGTATTTTCACTTTCCTTCTCAAATGACTGCACACAATGCATGCTCTGCTGCTAAAAACACACTTTAGAATAGACAAATAAAATGACATTAAGCCCTTGTTCACTTGGCTCTCATCATAGAAAAGGGGGGGAAGGCTCTGGAGGTAAATGTAAGAAAGTGAGATTTAGTAGCAATTCCATTTCTATAAGGATGGCTTAAAGAAAAAGTAAACAAGTGAACAGATAAATGTATAAAGGATGTGCACACTAGTGTGTTTACATCCTCAAAAAAGAGGTACTTAGTAACAACAAATTAGGATATATCTATACAAAGGCATGCTATCTGGTCATTAAAAATGACATACCTACACCTGCTGATATGCAAAAATATTTAGACTACATAGTTAAGTAAAACAAAAGGGTTCCAGAACACCATTATACCAGGCAATTATGTTCCATGTGTCCCTACAAATACATATGCATTAAAAAGGAGAGATATCAAAACATAAACAGTGGGTATCTCTACTTGATTTTTCATTTTCTTCTATTCTATATTGTTTGACTTTTTTTTTTACAATGAGAAGTATTTTTACATTAGAAAAAAATTATTTTCAAAAAGCTTTCCTGAACATTTTATGTATTAAAAAATAGAAACCTGACAAGCAAAGAAACACAAACAAAATACCCCTTGGAACTGACGTTTGTACAGAAGGCTAGAGTACGTTAGGGGTTCCCAGGGAAGCTCTGAACTCTCTTATCTGGAGTTCTGCTCTCGGAATTGTTTGATCACTGACGGTCCTTTAAGCATAAAAGGGAAAAGGGCAACTAGTTGAGTACAGCACTGAGTACAAACACTGTCAACATGTCTAAATGCTGCTTCTGTCTCACAATCATCTATTTCTTTTCAGAATAGTGTCTAATTAACTATTTTTGTCCTTCCATCCCCACACTGTCCCATTTCCTCTCAATCAGTGATCCCTCTTCATTGAGAAAGCACAATATAACAGTTCAGTATCCTCCCAAAACCACAGCAGAAAAAGGCAGAGGGCCTCTGAGTCATCCATTAAAATCTAAGAAAGCCCAGGAGACCATGCTACTACTTTTTATGCCTTGAGAGAGACGGAATTTGAGAAGCTTGGAGAAACAAAACTGAGAAAGGATAGGGGGACATCATAGGCTGAGAAGAATTAGAGTTGTTCTCTCAGGAAAGATGGAAGCAAAGAGATCATCAGACGCAAACATCTGGGGGTCGGGGGAGCGGTGGGGACAGGGTGGGGGAGAGGTTGGGGAGCCAACCTTCTGAAGTTCGAATGAAAAATGAGGACAAATAAAGGTTCCACTCCCAAATGATTATTTGGTGGAACAGAGGGTCTAACTAAAGTTTTACAAGTAAAGAGAGACACTTAAGTTTTGAGATCTTTAAGAACAGCATAACCAGTTTAAGACATTTAAGAACAAACATCAAAGAGGCACCTATAACCACCGCCAAGGGTGATCCTTTGTAGCAGTCATGCTAATGAAGATAACTTGGCTTTCTCTTGTACGTATAGAATGTTTTGAAACAGTACAGAACCTGTGTGCTCCTCCCCAAACCAAATGCACTGTCCCCCACCCAGAGGTAACTTCCGTTCTAATTATTTTCCCTTACCTTAAAAAAAATTTTAATTGTGGTAAAATACACATAAAACTGATCATTTTAACCACTTTTTAGTATACAGGTCAGTAGTGTTAAATAGAGTCACACTGTTGTGCAACCAATCCCCAGAACTCTTTTCACCTTTCAGAACAGAAACTCTATATGCATTAAACAACTCCTCACTCCCCCTCCCCCAACACTTGGCGACCACCATTCTGTCTGTATGAATTTGACCGTTTAAGACATCTGGTATAAGTGAAATTATACAGTATGTCTTTTTGTGACTGGGTTATTTCACTTAGCATAATGTCCTCAAGGTTCATCGATGGTGTAGCATCCCTGGTGACAAGATTGCCTTCCTTTTTAAGTATTTTCACATTTTGTTTACCTACTCATCCATCAATGAACACCTGAGTTGTTTCCAAGTTTTAGCTATTGTGAATAATGCTGTTATGAACACAGATGTAGAAATATCTCTTTGAGACCCTGCTTTCAATTCTGGATATATACCTAGAACTGGAATTGCTGAATCCTATGAATTGTTTGAGGAACTGCTATACGGTTTTCCATGGCATCTGCACATTTTTACATTCCCATCAACAGTGCACAAAGGTTTCAATTTCTCCATATCCTCACCCACACTTGTTATTTTCACGTTTTTTAATAATAGCCATACGAATGGGTGTGAAGTAGCATCTCATTGTAGTTTGATTTGTATTTCCCTAACAATTAGTGATGGCAACTATCTTTGCATTTGCTTATTGATCATTGTATATCTTCTTCAGAGAAATGTCTATTCAAATTATTTGCCCATTTTTAAATTGGGTTTTCTAGTTATTGAGTTGTAGGAGCTCTTTATATATTCTGGATATTAACCCCTTATCAAATATATGATTTATAAGTACTCAAATGCACAAGACAATGCCAGACTGTTTTCTAAAGTGGTTGTATCAATTTGCACTCTCACCAGCAGTGAAGAGAAAGTTCCTATTGTTCCACATCCTTACTAATGCTTGGTATTCTCAGTTCTGTTCATTTTTGCCAGTCTGGTAGGTATAAAATATCTCATTATGATCTTAATTTGGTTTTTCTTGATTACTAATGAGCATCTTTTCACATTTATTCTCCATTTGTATATAATTTTCTAAAAAAATCTGTTAATATCTTTTGTCATTTTTTACTGAGTTATCTTTCTTCTTAATTTTGTAGGAATTCCGTATATATCCTAGATCCTTTGTGAAATATATCTATATCATGTACATCTTATAAGATATATCTCTATCATATCATGTATATGATATCTATCATACATATGACAGATATCTTTGTAAGATATGTAAGAGACATATATATATGCACATCCTTTTTAAGTTACATCTGTTTCTTTGCCCCATTTGTGGCTTGTCTTTCCACTCTATCATATAAAGAACATTCTTATTTCAACATAGGCCAATTTATAGGTCTTTTCTTTTATGGTAACACTTTAAATGTCTTGTTTAAGAAATCCTCCCTGCCCCAACCTTAGGTCACAGTCGTATTTTTTTCTAAATTTTAAAGTTTTTTACCTTTTATATTTAACTTACCTAGAGTTGATTTTTGTCATATGTAAATATAATGGTTTAGTGTTAAAAACTTGTATTATATTGAACTTACCAATGAACTCATGGAGAAACAATGCTGGGACTCTCAAATAATCTTTTAAGAGGTTAGCACTTGCTCCCTTGCCCAGTCTGTCCCTGAACTGCAGGATGATTCTGATTGCCAGTAACTTTCATAGACCTAAACAACATTCACATAAATGGTTGCAACTGAGACCTCTGCTTCTTCAAATCACTAGCACACATGTCACTTAATACACTTTGGTTGTCAAAAATTGAGAGGATTTTTACTATGTTGATTAAATTTTAAAAATCTCTTTATACTTCATTAAACCTGGAAAACAGAAGCATCTCCAAATAGTGATACATTTACTTCAGTTGGGCAACAGGGGAAAAAAGTATTATTCTAAAGCAGGACCTTCTTTATGTTCCTAACAGCCTCATGGTTGAATAAAATGGTTAGAAGTTACAAATGAATAATCAAAAGCAAAATTTGTTCCTAAGCCAACAGAGCAACCTTTTACCTCTATGAAAAAATAAGGCAAACAGTTCTCTAATACTTTTCCCCTTCATTAAGGTTAACCAATATGGTATCTATATATCTAAACATTCACTGTAAGTTTTCAGTGATGTTTAGACCCTGAATTATCTTTCCATAATTAAGTTAATTTAGGCACATTGGTCTGTATTTTATAGAAAACATTTATCTTTGGGTAACAAGTAAGAATGAGTTATAATTTGCAAATGATACAAAGATGATTCCAAATCTCAGCTAATCTCTCCCCTACTGCAATTACTCATAATAGAGACCAAACATAATTGCTTAAACTTATCACTGTGAGAGATTCTGGTGACTAAGAAATCCCTGAAAGAGCAGTAAGCCATGATTATTGGAAAGCTCAGAACACTGGCAAGGCTTAATTGCAAAGTATTTAACAGAAGGCCACAAATTTCGTTTTCCTTAGAGGACCTAGGAACTACAGATGTCATGTCACTGAGTAATGCATTGAAATGGCATTGCCTAGGGTGAGTGTTGCAGAGAAACTCCAGGTCACCTCTTCTTGATCTATTATTTTGGATAAGCTTCCACTATCATGGCATGGCCCTGTAAAGGGAAAAAAAAAGTTCAGTGAGAACAATGAAAAGCAGTGAATCTGGCAGTACAGAGGCAGCAGAGAACAACGGGGACAATGAGGCTTTGGAGTTTACTCCTGGCTCTGCCATTCAAACCCCGTGTGTTCTTGAGAAAGTTATTAGCCAATCTGAACCTCAGTTTCCTGCATAAAATGGGGCTCATGGTGCCTACTTCACAGTGTTTTCATGAGCATTAAATTAGATAGCATACGACGTGTGTGCGCACACACACATAATATACGCATCGGAGTCTGGTAGAGTCTGATTCCCAGTAGATACACTGTGAGTGGCTGCAATTAAAATGAGAAGCCATGGGGGCCTTTTTAGCATACAAAAAGACGTGATGCAGTGAATGCCAACAAAACTAAGCTTCTAGATGAGAAAACTGAGGCTTTGAAAAGTTAAATTACTCATCCAAATCCACAGAGCTAGTAAGCAACAGGGCCAGGATTTGAAACCAGATGATTCCAAAAACCTGGTCTCCTCTTCGCTAGTCTATGCCAGTGAAGACGATCTGAGGGCCCTCAAAGCTAAAAAGGTAGAAAATCCCTCCCCGGCACTATGCACAGTGCCATGTACTCATTATCTCCCTAGTTTAAACCTAGAATAGAAATTTATGATTCCGTGAGTCTAAATCCTATCTGATAATCATAGTCATTCTATCTTTTGGACTACCACCAAACTCGTTAACAGCCTAAATAATCTCCCTGCTTCTAGATTCAATTCAATCCCCACAAATGTTTATTAAGCAACTATATTTATAAGGCACCAAGCTGAACACTGTACAAAGACTTGCTACATGGTCTCTGTCCTCAATCTAATATACACTCTAGTTCAAAACAGACTGTTAAACGCCTCGATAGAGGCACCAAGCAAACAAAAGAACGGGGATGGGGAGGTATGACTGACCTGCGGTTGTCCTAGAAGGAACCATGGTAAGGAGAATATTCCTTCACTTGTTTTATTTAAAATGTGCTGTTTTCATGTTCCAAATCTTGTATATCACTCTGAATAACTGGGGGTGACTTTGCCCCCTACCCTCCCCAATGGACATTTAGCAATGTCTGGAGATATTTTTGGTTGTTCCAACTGTGTGTATATAGTGAGGGACGGGGC